CCCCCCCCCCCTCTCTCCTCCCCGAACATAGCGCATATGCATTGTAAACGAATACGACGCACAGGTTGCTTTCTATTCGAATAGAAGACATACGTGTTCTCTTCGAACAGCCGTTGTTTTTTAATAGAACAAGGGCAGCATTTGCGCTCTACTCGAATTTTTGATTTTTTTTAGAAAAGGCGAATACAACACATATGCGTTATGTTTGAGGGAAGACGGTCGCTCATCCTAGAAACAACAGTGGCTACTGAGCCTACTGTTATGATGATTTGCCAGACTTCACGCAATTCCATCCATCCACCACCACTCTAGCAAAAGCTTGAATTAAAGCAAATAAAAAATTGACAGAAAACAAGTTGTGGAGAAAGCCTCGTACGAACTTGTATTGCACAATTACACCCGCAACCTTTTTCTTCTTCTTCTTCTTCTTTTTTTAATCACACCAGTAGGCTAAGCCTTGATGGAAACAAGAAAACATTACGTGCACTTGGGCAGCTGAGTGCTGTGAGCAGTAGCCTGCAGCCTGCAGCCTGCAATGCCCAGCACTGAAAACAGGTCAGTATATGGTCAGAACACATTGCCTATGACTGCATCCAGATTCCAGACCATCTCCTTCAGGTTCTAAAAATAGCACTTCTTCCCCATCCGCCTCCGTTGGAAATCCCCCAAGAAGTGGCAAGAACATATTTACCGCCTGCAACTAGGAATCGATTAGCAATTTAGCACACTACAAGAAACCTGTTCGGATACATTCTACTCAACCCTGTGCCGTATATCAACTCAGATTGGGCTATACAGTATACACTGTATACAGGTATATATTACTGTGTAGTATGTACTAGTCTGTAGATCTGTCTTGGTCTTCCTCTCGTTCCTGACGCTCTTACAAATAAAACAGATGTTATATAAGCCTCTCCCTACATCTTCTCTCCCGTCCATGGTCGGAGGATGCATGCTTCTTCAACCTTAAATCACCAGTACACGCCTCACACATCGGCCACGGGCCGGCTGTCAGAGGCCGAAATGCGAGGCCGACCACCAATTAATTTTTTTATGGATGGCGCCTCGGTGTCGACTTTTTCGGACAAGGTGACGAAAAAACATTTTCAGCAAGGTTAGGGCCATGTACTGGCGGTTTAAAACCCCGATGGCACGTACGACATCGAAATTGAAGCATGATGGAACACAGGATACGCGCTCAGATGGGATGGCACATCAACCCAATACAACGGCCCACTCGATTCTCCCCCAATGACCTTGAATACCTCACAAGGCCCGCAATATCTCACAAGGCCCGCGATATCTCACAAGGCCCACACCACTTTGGCAGCAACTTCCTGGACATTATCCTTTTCTTCTGGGTTGAATCTTCATCCACATTTTCCCAAACAAGCTTCCCCCTCTTTGAATGCAGAAGGTTGGCGGTTTCTGTCGGATTTTCACCCGCCACAGACGTCTCCACCTTCCGCATGTGCTTTATGACCTGGCACAGCTCGTCTGCAAACTGCTTTGTAAACTCTTAGGTTCCAAGAGGATTCTTCTGCTGCTGCCATTTGGGAAGCAGAAGCAGAAAGTCAACTGGCACTCTTCGTCTCCATGCAAGGTAAAGTTCGTTCAGTGTGTTTCCCGCAGCCGGGGGAACTGAGGAGTTTTCCACCTTGGGACGATCCCAGTTGATCTGATTGCGCCTCATCAGATGGCACACTACCGATTGGAAGTCAGAAGGACCCATAGTACCCGCCTAACCCGAAAAAGGGACCTACTGTGGACATCCGTTAAAATTGGAACGATACAGAGAAGATTAGCATGGCCCCTGCGCAAGGATGCCACGCATAAATCGAGAAATGGTCTAATTTTTTTTTTTTTTAAAAGGAAAGCACTGACAATCTCATCAGTAATCGGGAAGGGGTCTATGGATCTGCACAACACATGTCTATGCATCTGAATCAGAGACAACTCCCACCTTGGGGGTTTTAATTTCATATTGGATCTTCGGACTTCCAAGTTTTCGAAATCGGGTTTTTTTTATACCACAATCTTCTACTTTTGTAGCTATATGCTATACATAAAGGGTTAACCAGCCAGACGCCTCAGTTGATCCGATTGTGCCTCATCAGATGACGCAGCACCTGCTGAACTGTACAATTGCAGCACACATTTGACTGTCACTCTGTGACTCCGTGTGTGGTGATTGGCAGAGCTCATCTTGAATTCTGTACCAACAAACTTCATCAGATTCTCCCTATCTCTCGCTGGCAAAGTGAGCGCATCCATCACTAACAATGCTCATCAGGAATCCAAAGTCTGAAGCCCGTTGTTCCCAAGATGGTTTCACTGCCACCTTTCCTCAAGCATTGCCCCATCAGATGACGCAGCACCTGCTGAACTGTACAATTGAAGCGCACAGTTTGACTGTCACTCTGCGACTCTGTGTGTGGTGATTGGCAGAGCTCATCTTGAATTCTGTACCAATAAACTTCATCAGATTCTCCCTATCTCTCGCTGGCGAAGCGAACGCATCCATCACTAACAATGTTCATCAGGAATCCAAAGTCCGAAGCCCGTTGTTCCCCAGATGGTTTCGCTGCCACCTTTCCTCAAACATTACCCTTTCTTCATTGGTACCATCCTTAAGAGTAAACTCACACTAGGTGCTCAAAATCACAAAATAACAAAACGAGCGGCAAGATCGAGTCCTTCGGTTACAAGGACTCAATCTGGCCACTCATTTTGCGATTTTGCGGTTTTGCGATTTTGTGATTTTGAGCACCTAGTGCAAGTATGCCCTTACTACGACGAACTCAGAGAAACCGTCGACAACGACGAAGAGCGAAGAGCGAGTCATTCCTACGCAGTGAGTCCGGTAGTCCACCCATGAAATCCATAGATATGAAACTATCCAGCTCTTTTTTTTGGGAATACACAGATGTCTCAGGAGCCCCCATAGGACCGTGAAGTAACACGAAACCGATATACGAAACCAGTCATGACCCACATCGGGGGAACACAAAGTAAGAGAAAGTCCTATCCGTCGCAACAGCGGCAGTGTGCTCTACCAGGCTCTTCTCTTCCCTTCCGCCGGCCTCAAACTCACCTGACCGCATCCCATTCATAACTTACAAACACGTGCGATATCAAAATACCTTCTGGAGCAAAAGCTGGAGGCGAACTACCTCCAGATTCAACGGTAGGCGCCTGACTTGAATGAACGAAAGCCCAAAAGGGCCAAAACACAGCTACAAAAAAAAAAAAAAAAAAAAAAAAAACTTCTGACACAGGAACAAAATCACACCACCGATTTTTGCCCTTCAGCTCACTGGCAAATAAGGTAACTTCCGACGTACTCCACTGCATCAGCTCACATGGTGGGCCAGTCAAATTGCTCTACAAGTCTCAAGCGGGTCCTATTGAGCCCAAAGTGTGTGTTGTTAAGATCCCCAATCTCTCTCTCTCTCTCTCTCTCTCTCTCTCTCTCTCTCTCTCTCTCTCTCTCTCTCTCTCTCTCTCTCTCTCTAAATCCATCCTCGTACCATCACCAACTATCCATAAAC